ACATTTCTCCATTGAAAGTCGTCTTCACACTGACAAGCACAAAAACACGAGTAAACATTGATCGCGCCCGCCCCAACTTGGTTGCACACTAATTTTCTTAGAATACATTCTAAAGTATAGGGAAGAATAATCCCGTTGCGTAATATTTTAGAATGCAGCCAAGTGTTGTTAAAGATTCTTCCAATTAACTGCAGCCAACCTCAATCTAATTTCGACTTTTACTTGAGTCCAAATAAATAATCCTTAAATTATTGCTTCTCTTGCAATTTTCTCATAGATGTAGGCTAAAAAAATCTCTATGATGAAGTTGATGTCGTTTAATCGTATAGATTGAAAGCTAGTTTTCAATAGTAATTTGCCTGATAAGAGTTTTGTACCTTGCTTTTAGGTGTTAGTAAAAGCTACCCCAAAAAGGCTCTAAAACGTTCCACGATTTTAGACACACTGTTATGTCGTTAGCTTAACACAACTTTAGTACTATGACGTCTAAGTCAATGTCAGCGGGGGAAGAATCCTTAATCGTTAAGCTAAACCCATCATTCGGAGAAAGGAAAAGGAGAGAGATAGAGAGAGAAGAGAGAAGAGTCAAAGCTATCACCATTCCCAAATGGAACTCGTCAAAGATTCACCCGTCACTATCTGTTTGACACATAGGGTGATATTTACATACATTTTCAACTCGTGGATTATATGCAATATTGCAACATTGCAGCAAAGGCAAGTTACTCCACTTTCTTTTCATTCGCTCTCTTCATCTCATTCTCGTTGATTACTCTGCTTTTGATCTTCTGAATGGCCCTCTCATCAAATGTCTCATACGCCCTCTTGCATTTCACTCTCGACCACTCCAACGAACTCTTAATCCTATTCTGGTTCTTGTTATAAATTACAGGAACTGTCGTGCTCGTCAGTGTACCTATTTAATTAACAGTCAAATCGGACATTGAAAATCGTTATCCAAGAGAAAGATCAGTAACATAAATATTCTAGAAATTGATGACGTACCTATATAAAGCAATGTTAACAGATCCATTTTGCTCCCAACGTAAGAAAGTAACAACAATCCCGCAACGGCTCCTAAAAACAGAGACCAGTCTTCTTGTGCGCTCACCCGAAACAGAAACCTTATTCCTTCTTCGATCCATGCTCGAACCACGTACGCCATTTGCAGAGCTGATTCTTCAGTCAACTCCAAATCCGACACGTTCGGGGGTGCCCTGTATTCAACATAATTGATTGACCCAATTGGGGGGAAAAAACAAAGAAGTCATTGTCCTCAGTATGTAGAAATTTGTACAGGAAAAGGGAGGCACTTACTTGCCAAAAAGCCTAATCATATTGGCCCAGAGGAAGGCAGAAGCAAGAAGAAGCATGACCAGCCACGAGAAAACAGCGACGAAATGGAATTGATACACTTGCAACAACGTCCACGTTGCTGTTGCCCCGATGAGAATTGTTGCAGTTAGCGACTTTCTTCTCCACAGAGCTACGTCCTTCACTACTGGGCCACACAAAGCCAAGTTCAATGTGAAAACACATCATCTGGGTGAAATTATAAACAAATAAAGAATGCTTTTGGTATGTCTAAAAGAGCAGAGTCGAACTACCCGAGGAAGGAGAAGATGAAGGAGAAGGAGCTAGAGAGTGTGTTTGGGCCGACATGATGAAGAAGACGAGGTGAATCGATGATGTTGCTGTCGAGGTTGGAGATGCTTGCCTTGTTCGGTTTCATCCTGTATACTAGTATTATATAGTTTCAAATATGGGTCATTCGGCGGAGGTGGTCACCAAGACGGTCGTTGAGTTTAGAGCCGACACGTGCAGCGATCCAAGGTGACGTGTGAAACCTTGCAGGAGTCGTGGCATTTGCACGTAAAGTTTGTTCCATCTCATGATTTCAAAAGGTCATAAAAGGAATTGAATTTAATGACCAGTTTTCGGGCATGGGATTCACCTATTGGATCCAAAGTAGCGAACTGCGCTGGTTCTTCAATTGGGCTCCCAATAAGACTTGATATCTCACTTAACGTTTCTCTCTGTTTAAAACTTTGACAGCCCAGCTCCACAAGTTTAAATGGCGGCCCCCCATGACAACTCGCCACACTCCTATTTATTTGAATTTTTTGTTGCAAAAAGATTTCTAATCATTCTACTTGGATTGATCATTTACTTAAAGCTAAAGGCGGTTAAGGAAAAAAAACACGAGCTTAGGCTTTCGAGGGGTCGAATGAGGTAAAAGGTTGTGTTTTCAGAATGAATCCAAACACAACATGGACTTTTCTTGTGAAATTTCATGGTGGACAATGATGTAATTCTCTCCAGCTTGGATGGAATAAGTTCGATGAAGATACTGAAGAGTTTGTAACATTTTGAGTTTCAACTTTCCTCCTCTATTACCGTATATATGATAAAGGGGCAAATTTGCAGTTTGTTCAAAAGATAACACATTAAACAGTTCATGGTCAAAATAGAAATTTAAGACTGCAGCTGGATGATGCATCAATAAAATTTTTCTTGTTGTAGGCTTTGCAGCAGAAAGTCTTGGAGTAGGAATTCGAGTAAGCCAATTGATTTCGCTTCATTAATCAGACATTCGTTTTTTCTTCTGATTTTTCTCATTTTTTGATGGCTTTGGAGTAATCAGCTTTGAATTATGGGAACATCATTCACATCAACATAAAATTGCAGATGGCACAGTTGCCCAAAGTTGAGTCTCAGAATACTCAGACGCTCCTGGGCCTCTTCATCCTTCAAACACGCCGAGTACTTGTCAATGTTAATGATGTCATATCAAATCCAAATATAATTACTCATCCAATCCTTAATATATAACCTAATCATTAAGTTAATTTTCGTAATAAATATCATACCTATTTTTCATATTTATCAATTTCTTCTAAATTATCCTTGTGGATACTCCCTCAATCATAATCAAGTAAGTGAGCTGGGAAAAATATTAAGAAGGATGATTATGGTGTTTTAAAAAAAAAAAGGTCATATTTCTTGTAATTAACTAACTTACCTAATTTCTTTTATCTAATCAAATTAGTTAAATAGATATTATATTAAGGACTAGAGGAGTACATTATAATCATGATAAAATTGATAAATCCTGAGGGAATTAAAAACAGTAAAAAAAATATGGCATTAATTTCATCTCAATTCTCAGATACAGAAGCAATCAACGTCATATTTAATTATGATTCAGAGGACAACTAAAAGTAGTTAAATTTGGATGCAAAAGCTTGGCAAAAAGATAATCATCATAGATAATTAATATTCCTTCAGTTCTTAATGTAAGACCTAATTAACTAGTTTGAGTAAATTAAATATGTTAGTTAAATTAGTTAATATGATATGGTATATTCTTTCTAAAACACCTTAAGCATTTTTCTTAGTTACTTCCCTTCTTCCCCTACTTTATTATTATTGGGAGAATATCAATAAGGTAAATTTTGGGGAAAAAAATTAATAAACATGTAAACTAAGTCTTATATATAAGATCAACATCAATTCTCTAATTAAGTTCTATATTAAGGACAGAGGGGTGAAAATCTATGACTTAGTTGAGCCAAAGCATAAAACAGCAGGAGCATATCAAGTTGAATTTAAACATCTTGCTTCAATTCGCGGATACCAACTGAATGCTCTTCTCCTTTTCCCTAGTATGCTCTTTCCATTCTTCCATAATAATGTGTGGCAAAAGAAAAACATTGCAATTCACAGACAATGGTATTATCCTTGCACGTACAGATGGAAGTGGGACTTTGTACACACAACACAGTGATTTCACATGCTTTGACCGAAATTGACGCCAATTATGTAAAGATGCATGCAAGGCAGATTTTTCACTCACCAAACTTCATCTTTATTTTTTCGGCCTGATGTACAGGTCACTGGAACCGTCTTTTGTTTGTGGGCCTTGCCCTTTTTTTTTTTTTTTCATTTCTTTCTTTCCGTTTCACTGGTCAAGTTTAAATAAAGTTTTGTCGTGGCCATCATCTGCAACTCCATGAGTGCCCATAATTTGGCGCCCCACATCCGTCTCTTTCCTTTTTCTTAATAGCAGTTAATTAATGTCAATCATTTTACCTTCCTCGTGCCCAAACAACATACAGACACAGCATTCACACTTCCCAGTAGAGGCTTTAAAATAATCAGATACCTCCGCTGCATCTGTATTGAAGGTAATGCCTTGGATTACATGATTTCCATTTTGTTAATGGATAATTTCTTAAACATTCCAACATATCGATGAATAACTTTATTTAATGTTGTTTAATCTTTTATTTCAAAAAAAAAAATCTTTATTTCTTAAAGATTTCTACAGCCGCTAGTTGACTTGAACACTGTACCAATATTTCTTTTCTCCTCATTTATGTTGTGCTTGACCTAGCCCTTAACGATCAAATGCACTAGACGATGCCAAGAAAATCAGCGATTCCCTTTTCTGGGAAACCTTATTTGCTTATATGTTGATCTCTGATGACAGAATGAGAGGACTACATAATCAGAAATGAAAATGGGGTCTCTCATAATATTTACCATGCCAGTTCTCCTCCAAATACTGAATATTTACTGATGAATTGATTATATATATATATATATATATTAGAGGAAGAACACTGAAAGGAAACTGGTGAATTGGTATAGGATTATTAACAACCAGCGGAATCAGAAAAGTTGACAAAGAAGAGAGAAAGGGGAGATGAGTGGCGTGATTTCAGGGGTGTTATAGTCAAAATGATGGGCTAAAGCCATAGCTTCCACTTTAATGATAATTCATGAGTGAATTGTTCGTCACTTTAGTTGGAAGCAATAACCATTTGAAAACGCGTCACCCCCTGGCCCCTGCCCAATCCCATCAATTTTGCTACCTTAAAAACTAACAAGCCTCAATAAACTATTATTTCTTATCACTCCAATCACACCTTCCTGTGAGGTTGTTATATACAGCTCCCAGCTCCTGTGGCCAGTCACTCTCCAAGACAAGGGAAATCTAATACTTTGATTTCGTTTCCAATTTTAGAAAGTGGATTGGGATGCTTTACTCCTAATTGCTCTTCTCAGTGAGGTTTGAGTGGACTCTGGTTTTCTGATGTATACAATGGGAAGAACAAGCTTGCTCCCTCTGGTGTGTTCTGTTCTGGCCTTGCTGAGCGTGTGTCTGGTGAAAGCAGAAGACGCATATAAGTACTATACATGGGCTGTCACTTATGGGACTCGTTCTCCTCTTGGCATTCCCCAGCAAGTGGGTCATATATCTACATTCTTGCTTCTCATAACTTTTCATTTGCCTACCAAGGGATTAATCTATGTGCATTTCTGATATTTCGGTCTTTTACTTCTTTTGTTTAAGGTAATCCTCATCAACGGTCAGTTTCCTGGGCCTAGGCTTGATGTAGTGACTAATGACAATATAATTCTCAACCTTGTGAACAAGCTGGACGAACCGTTTCTTCTGACTTGGTGAGTTTCTCTGCATCTCTCTGCCGTGTTTTCCATGATCGAATCGAGGACATGTTTTGACGACGTTTTGATGAAACAGGAACGGTATTAAACAAAGGAAAAATTCATGGCAAGACGGAGTACTGGGAACGAACTGTCCCATTCCTCCAAACTCAAATTACACTTACAAGTTTCAGGTCAAGGATCAAATTGGAGCCTACTCATACTTCCCATCAACTCAACTCCACAAAGCATCGGGAGGTTTCGGTGGACTCAATGTCTATCACAGATCCGTCATCCCAATCCCCTATCCAAACCCTGATGACGATTTTACTTTACTCATCGGCGACTGGTACAACTCCGACCACAAGGTAAGATAGATTATTATATTTTTAAAAACATTTCACAAGCTGTTATACCTGTGAAATCTTGTCACTTCATCCAGCTAAACCCCTACTTCCTCTCTTTCTCATGTCTGTAGAAATTAAGGCAAAGTTTGGATTCTGGAAGATCTCTTGCCTTTCCAGATGGCCTCCTTATCAATGGTCAGGCCCATACTACCTTCAACGGTGACCAAGGTCAGATCGTGTTTTGCCATTTTTCAAGAAATCCGCTTTTTGTTTCCAATTCTACTTTTTTCCCCCTGTCAAAGCTGCATTTACCGATAAAGTTTATTCTTGCTTCAGGAAAAACATACATGTTCAGGATCTCAAATGTGGGCTTATCAACCTCGATTAACTTCAGGATACAGGGTCATAACCTTAAATTAGTGGAGGTCGAGGGATCACATACCATCCAAAACCTTTACGACTCTCTTGATGTGCATGTGGGCCAATCCGTCACCGTTTTAGTAACCTTAAATCAGCCTCCAAAAGACTACTACATTGTTGCCTCCACCAGATTTACCAGGAAAGTTCTCACAGCAACAGCAGTTTTACACTACGCGAACTCCCGTTCCCCAGCTTCTGGACCTTTGCCCGCTGCTCCTGCCTACCAATATCACTGGTCTATGAAACAAGCTAGAACCTTCAGGTTGTTATTCAGAATATATATAGCCTTGGATTTGGAGATATATATGCTTTCAAAGTTCCCATAGATTTTGACTTTCGTGTCTGTATATGCGCAGATGGAATTTGACAGCGAACGCCGCTAGGCCTAACCCACAGGGATCATTCCATTATGGGAAGATAACTCCGACAAAGACATTAGTGTTGGTCAATTCTGAAGCTCTGATTAATGGGAAACTGCGTTACGCTGTGAACAAGGTGTCCTATGTTAACCCTGATACTCCTCTCAAGCTTGCTGATTTCTACAACATCCCAGGAATCTACAGCGTGGATTCAATCCAAAGCGTCCCCAGTAATAATAACGGCGCAGCAACCATAGCCACCTCTGTAATCCCATCTTCTCTGCATGACTTCATCGAGGTTGTTTTCCAGAACGACGAAAACGCCATGCAGTCTTGGCATCTGGATGGATATGACTTTTGGGTCGTCGGGTACGTCAGCTTTGGCAGTTGGATCTGTATTTGCTTTGAATTATATGACCTCAAGAGAACAGATGATTAAATTGTTGAATGCAATAAACGCAGGTACGGCAAGGGGCAGTGGACGCCAGCCAAGAGAAGTACCTATAATCTAGTGGATGCCTTGACCAGGCACACAGCACAGGTACGCAATTAGGTCCTAAAGAATTAATATACAAGTTTAGATGAGTGGAATACGAATGTTGATGTAAGAGAGAATGTGGTGGTGGACATGTACGTAGGTGTATCCGAAGTCATGGACAAGCATATTGGTGTCGTTGGACAACCAAGGAATGTGGAACATGAGGTCAGCGATGTGGGGAAGACAGTACCTGGGACAGCAGTTGTATTTGAGGGTGTGGAGTGCTCAACGCAGTTTTACCAGTGAGTATGATATCCCAAGCAATGTCCTGCTTTGCGGCAAAGCCCTTGGCCATCGTCCTTAAATCTACTCATGACAGTTTGACTAGGAAATCCAAAAGGGAATTTCAATTAAATCTCTCTTGATATATGATTATAATTATATACAAGTATGATATAACGATCTTTGTTTCTCCTGCTGAATCTTGGTTTTTTTTTTGGGTACAATCTTGGGTTCTGTTATCAATGGCTTCCAAGATTCCCATGATCTGTTATGTATTGGGTCAAGATCGTTATTGCTTTTGGGCCACAGGCATCCTGTCGGTATTTGGGTTACAGTCATTTCGTTGGGCTAGAAACAATTGAACTTGGAAAAAAAAACAAAAAATAAGACGAGAACCTTTGACGTGTTTTGTACGAATAAGGGAATACACACGCACATATGAGAACTCTAACAAATGTCGCTCCACTCCATTGTGGACGAAGATTTGTGATTGCATGTGCGATTCTATTTGGAAGAAAGGAGTGCAGGAAGTGGGCCACGTGACAAAATTTAATGCAAATACCTTTTAGGAGTTCCCAATGAAACACAACCATGTGTGATCCGCCTTGTTGATCTGTTTCTATTTCCAGAATGGAGTTCTTGGGATCTATCTCATTCACTTCCGAATCCTGTCTATCTAGGCTACCATCCACTGAATCCACAGTTGGCTTATACAACAATCATTCTTTAAAATATTGTTTTTTCCTTTATTGTTCTCCATCTGGGATTCCCCCCCCCCCCCAAACCTCCGTGTGGCATTGCATGCACCCGTTCGAAATTTCTTTACTTTCTCGTCCTTTATTGGCCTTCACTATTTCCAGGCCTCTGTCTGTTTGTAAATTAAATTTATTTATAAAAAGAACGAAAAGTTGACGACATAAAAAAAATATAAGAATTAATCAGCTTGATTTTTACAAAATTTTCATTTAAAAAACAAAAATCTTTAAGAAAAATGAAAAAGCCGCCCTCAGATATTATTTATACATTCAGTGGGGAGGAGAAGAAGAAGAAAGCAATAGTCTATTAGTGGTCAATGCTATCTCTCTATTTCATTAAAAAGCACTAAAAAATTTAATACACGGTACTATATAAATTAGACGTAATGAAGGAGGGAATCGATCGTTATGCCTACAAGATCAATCTGATCATTGGATCATATATATGGGGAAAAGCTATCAGTTTGATTGAGAAACAATTTCGGATCTGTCTGAAAAGATGTTAATGGACATAAAACTAGATCGTCAAATTCACAGCAAAAATATAATAACAACGAGATCGATCCGCTCTCAGCTCCGGCACAACCGCCCTCTTAGATCCCCACCTCGTGCCACCTGCCAAGAATTTCAGCTGAGTCCAAATCCCCAAACTCGTTGCTCCTGATTTGAGTGCTTTCGTTGAAGGCAAAGTAGCAGTATTCAGTTTTGCTTCTTTTTTTAGTATTTCAAGGTATAAGAATTTGAATTTTTTTAAATGAATTATTGAGATCATAAATGGGGAAGAAGCATTCGTAGCTTCCCTATCCGCAGCTTCATATGGGTTCACATTCTCACGAACAAACTACTGAGTAATCATTCTCTTATTAAATTGCGACGCAGTCATATTTAAATGGAACTCTGAATATATAACCAGGTTGCTGGCTTGACGAATAAGGTTTCTTGGGACGAGCAGAACGTGCTAATTAATTAGAGTTATACTTTATAAAGCAAACGATTGAGCTAAGCTTGAGCTGAGTTCTAGCCCGCGGTCCGCGTACTTTGCTCTCTCTCTCTCTCTCTCTCTATATATATATATATATAGGCCCTCGTAAATCTGGGACCTAGTCAGCTCTCTCCCCCTTGAGTTTCTGGTTCGTGCATTTCTTTCCTTTTTCTTTCATTTCTTTAATTTGCTACGCATATTGGTTTTGAAAAGATGCATTCCTGTCTCAGTTAAGGTAGCTTTTTGGGTTAAAGAAAGAACAAGATTTCATGAATTCTTGATCTCTTTCTCCTTTCTGCGCTCTTCTCGGTTTATTAAAATTGATAACTCCAATTTATCACATGATAAGTTTTACCCATCCAGCACAGTCTGACTTTGACTTCACTAACTTCACTAACACAGACGCACGAATGTAAGATATTCGTCCCAAGTTTTCCGAATACCTTGTTGAAACGTCTCTTCGTTATCGATGTACGTCATTGAGCATATCTGTCAAAGATCTTCGTCCAAAGGTTACTGAATATATTGTTGAAAAGTCTCTTGGTTCTTTGGCAACCGGACAGAAGTAGCACAAAAGAAGATGAAGCAAGCCACACTGATGCATATTATTCTTGGAATTTTGGCTTGCTTGGGTGCTGCGTTGGTGAATGCGGAAGATCCATATAGGTATTTTACGTGGGAAGTGAGATATGGAACAATAAGACCCCTTGGTTTTCCTCAACAGGTTGGTCAAATCTTTAACCCCTTGTCTTTATTTCGTACCTGCAGAATGGTCTGATAAATCATCTCTATTTATACTGCCTTGTCAGGGTGTTCTTATCAATGGCCAATTTCCAGGTCCAACCGTAGATGCTGTCACTAATGACAATATCCTTGTAAATGTCATTAACAAGCTAGATGAACCTTTCCTTATCACATGGTGATCAGCGGTTCTTTTCCATATGTATAGTTTAGGTTTCTCTCACCGTAAATTAAACTAGGATTTCGGGTGATATCGTTATGTAACAAGTATTATCTGTGGACTGTGGTGTAAAACAGGAATGGCATCAAACAGAGAAGAACTTCATGGCAAGATGGAGCTATGGGAACCAACTGCCCAATCCCTCCAAACTCAAATTGGACATACAAGTTCCAACTCAAGGATCAAATTGGAACCTACAATTATTTCCCATCTACCAAACTTCACAGAGTTGCTGGCGGTTTTGGTGCTTTCAATATTGACCAAAGGTCTGTGATATCCAAGCCGTATCCTGAACCCGCAGCAGATTTCACCTTGCTCGTTCATGATTGGTTCAAGACCGACCACAAGGTATTCCTTGTCATTCCCATCAATAAAATATTAGGCAACCGCTGTGATGGAATTAACCCAAGTAAAACCATCTGAATTGCAGTCACTGAGGCGACAACTGGACGCTAACAAACCTCTTCCTTTTCCTGATGCTCTTCTCATAAATGGCCAAAAGAATTCAGCCGTATTTACCGGTGAAAAAGGTAACCATCCCCATTATTCCTTACATTCAAGAAACCACAAGTTCAAGATTAAATCCGAGGTTGAGAATAAAATATATTCGATCAGGGAAAACTTACAAGATCAGAGTGTCCAACGTGGGAATAGCAACCTCAATTAACTTGAGGATTCAGGGGCATAAGATGAAGCTCATCGAAGTTGAAGGAGCTCACACACTGCAGGAAGTTTACGAATCACTGGATGTTCATGTGGGCCAGTCACTAGCAGTCTTGGTTACACTTGATGGGCCACCTCAGGATTACTACATCGTCGCATCAAGTCGTTTCACTAAGACAATGCTCACCGCCATAGCCACTCTTCGTTACGTGGGATCTAACAAAAAGGCCCCTGGACCTCTACCCCCTGGCCCTACTTACCAACTTCATTGGTCCCTGAAGCAAGCCAGGACCATCAGGTAGGAGAACCCTTCTCTTTTTAACATTAAAAACAAAAAAAAAACAAAAAAGATGAGGACTCCGCTACAGTCGATCATGTTTTTATTAGTGACTCTGTTTTTTTTTTTTTTTGGCTTGGGGAAAGGTTGAATTTAACAGCAAATGCAGCCAGGCCGAATCCTCAGGGGTCATTCCACTACGGAACTATACCAGCAGTGAGGACAATCGTGTTAGAGAATTCTAAGGCCATTATAAATGGAAAATTGAGATATGCTGTGAATGGGATTTCCTACGTGGATCCCAACACTCCATTGAAGCTGGCTGATTGGTTCAACATTCCTGGTGTCTTTAACCTCAATACTATCGGAGATAGCCCTCCTCGTCGCGGTACCCCTGCTAAGCTTGGAGTCTCTGTCGTAGGACTTGCCCTTCATGACTTCGTCGAAATTATTTTCCTCAACAATGAGACCACTGTCCAGTCCTGGCATATGGATGGATCTAGCTTCTATGCCGTCGGGTAACTCTCTCTCTCTCTCTCTCTCTCTCTCTCTCTCTCTCTCTCTCACGCCCACACACACATGAAGAGGTCTAATTTAGAGTAAAATTTTACAAAGGACGAGTTGAAATGTTCAGGTACGGCTCTGGTGTGTGGAAACCTGAGATGAGAAGACGTTACAATTTGGTTGACGGTGTTCCGAGGCACACAGTTCAGGTATATCCACGTTCATGGAGTGCAATATTGGTGTCTTTGGACAATAAGGGTATGTGGAACTTGAGATCTGCAATATGGTCAAGGAGGTACTTGGGGCAAGAGTTGTATCTGAGGGTGTGGAACAATGAAAAGAGCCTCTTCACTGAGACTGATCCGCCTCCCAATCTACTTTTTTGTGGCAAGGCTAAGCACCTGCACTAGTCAGTCATAGTCAAAAAGAACCATTCTTTTCCACTTAAATTTGATCACTGTTGGTAGTGTAAGTTGTAGCTCTCAATATCTTTCTTTTCATTCTTATTATTATTTTGTTTTAGAATTTTCAGTTGCGAGGGTGTGACTGTCAAAATACAGTGAAAAAATGCACATTTGCTTTCGAATATAATAATATCGAGGTTATTATATAAGTAGAAATGCGAAGGTGCTATTGCGTTAATTCATTAGATTATTTCTTATAATCCAATAATTATAATCCTTTCCTATATTGTTTGCCAAGTTTAAAATCCTTTCAAGTCTCAAGAGTCACAGATTCATCAATTAGATATTCATAAACAATCGCACCGCAAATGTGCATGTGCGCTTCTATTATTTATTTATTTCTAATTCTTTCCAAGTCTAACCCCAATTCTAACAATATATACGGAGATTGATGAAGAAATTTATACTACCAAGTCACGCTTTAACGAAAATCAAGGTTAACTAACAATATCAACTTTGCAATGGAATCAATACCTTCACAGCTTTGCTCTCTATATATTGACGTAAACTAATTACATTTTGAACTGCTAGTGGAATTCGATGAAACTTTGGAAACCGGTGGGATTCCTCAAGGATTGAAAAATGTTTTTAGAATACTATCTTCAGTCCTAAATATAAAAATTAGTTGGACTAATTTGAGTAAATTAAGAAAATA